CCCCAAAGGAACAAATAAACAGGAAAGTAAACGAATATATCCTGTTCCATGAGTTCTAACAAAACGGAAACTTAATTATCTCACCTTTGAGCAAAAAAACAGTAAAAACGATAGCAACTATTCAGGTAAACACGTTTGAACTCATTGGCTTTGTGAAAAGAGATTCAAATCTATAATGTACCATAAAACATCTTGGGTTCTGCAGTAATAAGATGAATTAGAGGGGAATGATAAAACAACTCCCGGACGATCAAGCTCACTTAAATGACTAGTGCCATGGGCGGGCATCATTAATTTCCGCTGTCTTCTCCTCTCCCTGTCTCTGATTCACTATCATCTCCATGCGTTGCCTGTACCGCATCCTTGACAGATTAGATTGCGAGAAATAAGACAGCTTGAACCCGCGCCCCCAGCCCCTTTTCGATTCCATGCTTTGTGAAAGGAGATAAATGAAAACGACTAACCTGAAAAAGAGTGTACGTGTGTGTGTTTGCCTGTAGATGTCTTGCATGCGCTGTTCAATAATTCAGGTATTCAAGCCGGGAAGAATATTAGCGTGTTAACGAACCATCACTTTTCGATTCGTCTCCGGAAGTTCGGAAAACTCGCTCTTCATTCATCAAATTTGCTCACACTGTATTACTTCAAATCAAAGCACGTTTCCTCATGACCGTAAGTAATGTGCAACTCTCTCCCTGTTTTACTCGGGTAGTTCGGGATTCAAGTTCAGACAGTGGTAAATTAAACACGTCGTTGGTCGTAACCGGGGATCTTTGGCTTTGCTTAATCATTTACGTTTGGAAATCTATTCGGGAACAATAGGTGTTTCGGTGATCAACGAAGGTCACTAGTTGTTTGGTCTTCATTGAAGCTAATAATCATTTTGTCCGAGATGAATGACTGCTTTTTATTCAGCACACTTAACCAAGAATGATAAACAGCAAATAAACGGTGGTGATCGTCATCATCATCATCGCATTGCCCCGGGTATTGTATGTTAGAACCCCGTCATCACCGCTGCCTAGATCTCCACATATACAAACACACAAACACAAATACACATTCTGTGCATCAAGTGGAGCCTTTTGATTAGGCGCTTTCTCCACCCGGAAAATTGCTCTTGTTATTCTCTATTGTCGACGAGAAAGCACAGAATCGGAAATACCGCGTCTGCTATCTGTTCGGATCAGTTTTCGTATTCTGACAAAGTGCATTATGCTTTCATCATTTCTGCGGGAAGTAACCCTTTCGAAGACTAGTTCGAACCACGATTACAACAATCGAACCATGATATCGAACGGGCAGCCTTTGACAACTGATGTCTCCGTTGAATAATGAATGTGACATGGATGTTAATCTCAAATGACAAAATAGCTATGAAACTGCGTGTGGAGTGGTTGGGATTCCTTTAATCCGCCTCCCGTGACGATTAAACTGCCTCCCATGATGCCCATCTACTTACGATTTTGTCTTTCTGCAGTGTTATATCTAATTAGAATCAAGCGCACTTTCACTTGGATGAAAGGTTCTTCCCTCACTGTCATAAAGGCTTCAATACTCCAGAGACTTAACTTTGTCAACGATTGAGGCTGTTCGAACCAGTCGTCATATGTGTTGGTGTTTGCACGACGGCCGTATCAAACGATCAGGAGACGGAGCCGGAGTGGGTGAGTTGTTGGTTAGATGCGAATAAGACATTCGAGCAGAGAGTAGCGGAATTGGTGTTTCCGGAACTTTTCCGTTGTCTTTCGTGACAAGATAATCGCCAACTCTTCAGCTCTTTGTCCTGAGCATGCAATCCTAATGAGGAGCATATTGCATCACTCTCCTCTCCTCTCTAGCCGTTGGCAAGGCGTAAATGCAGTTGATCAGCGTTCGGATGAGTCAGTCGCTTTGACCACGTATCACACCACGGAATTTGCCGTTCAATGTCACGTCTACTCTCCCTTCCTGGCATTTCGCGTTTTCTCGGACGTGACTTGGACTTCTCTGGACGGCGCACTGTTTAACGGTAGCGGCAACAGCAACACCAGCGCAAACAAAAGCAAATAGCATTATTGGACTGGCACAGCACACAAGCCTAGCGATTTCCAAATGAAATTAAATTCATCCCGCCGGTAGTAGGAAGAAGGATAGCAAGTGGCGAGTACAGTAAAATACTGGGGCAGTGGGAACATCAATCAACATACGTTCGGCAATCGGCACTGGGCACGCTATAGCAACAAATTGATTATTTCGTTTGGGTGAACTGTAGTTTTTCTCGCTCCCTCTCTGATTCAACAGTTGTTCGTGTCTAAGCACGACCGAAATCCTCTTCTTCTGGACATCCGGATTGATGTGATGGTTACAATCGGACTGTTGAGGTCTAGTTGACGTGTGGGGGATTCAGGGGGTGAGGAGGGGGTCGGGAACAAAGAGAAGACGAGTGGGGTAATGCTTAGATGAGAATGTTTATCTGCATGCCCTTTTTCCTCTGGGATCACGAGAGCTAACGATCAGCTACAGATCGGATAAAGCACAACGGTTAGCAGAGCTTCGGGGGTGGGTGGGTGAGTGAGTGGGTGGGTGAATGGGAGAAGAGAATGAACACCGAAGCTGGATGTTAAGGTCAAACAAATCGATCAGTTCGAAGGAATTATCGAAAGCAGTCTGTCGAATGCGGATGAGTTTTTAATGGGTGTACCCCATACTGCATCTAAGTAAATTTCAGAGACAAATCAGCCTATCGGTTTCATGGTGGTTGTAAATTTTCTGGCAAATGCCGATGGTCGTTTGTCTGCTCGTTCGTATGTAATCGAACTGACCACATTCAACAGAGCGGTTAAACGAAGTGAGCAGTGCTACAAGCTTTTCAGTACACTATAGATGTAGGCATCTACCCCAATGCTCACGAAATGATAGATTGCTTTGCTGTGGATAGAATTTAAACAATGTCCAGTAGACGTCCACCAGAATCCATATGATCTCACCAACCTATTTACAGTTTATCATTTAGCTCTACCCCTCGTGGTTCCGCGCTCCGGTTCCCGAGTTACGATCCTGTGCTCCTCATGAAAATAAAGACTACCTATAATCCAGCCCCATGATGTACCATACATTTTGCGTCCCACTGAACCCGTGAAAATCACCCCAGATAAGTGTGAAATTTCCCCTTTGACTGAATGCCATTTCGGCAAACTCGAATTGTGCAAAAAGTTGTAATATCTTTCGAAAACCCAAGATTTTGCGTTCCCACAATTCTCGACATTCATACCTCTGGCGGAACAGTAAATTGTTCACTCGGATCGATTGATTTTCTCACTGCCGGAAAATTTTTAAACTCTTATCTGTGTGAAAAAATCGGGCTGAAGATGAATTAATATTGAAATTGTAAGACCGTATTCATTGCTCCCTTAGTATGCTCGATATTGCTTTGGACTACCTTCGAAAATGTTCCTCCCTGCTGAATATTTGACCTATTTCGATCGTGAAATAGATTGGACAAACACGGATTGATATGAGATTATCAGCCGCTTATGCGAACCCACATGGTAAAACACTGGTTTTAGATTGAATTCTACCTGTGAAACATTTGAAATCGGCTGATGAATTAGATCTCACTGTACAACTTTTCTGTGGTGTGCCATTACGTGGTACAATGTTCCGAATCCATTGGCATCTAGATTTTACCTACTGACAAAGGTGTCACCAGCCACTGTTTTTCTTTCACTAAATGGTTAACAATACCTGTGTTTCAAAAGTAGATTTTAAAGTTCATTATTTTACCGCATAATGTTTGCACATAGGTGCTAACATTAGGATACAAGGGTAAGCCTCATATTCACAAATTCCTCTTTTTCATAGAAAAGAGCTATCGACTTTAGCCAGAATTTGGTGATCCACACTATACCTTATGGTATAGTTGCTCAACGTACTGGATAATAGCAAAACTGCGTGTTGATGGAAGCTAATAACGATGCGCCATAATGTCAGTCTGTTTTGGCTCTTCATTTCGTCTCAATTATTCGTGGCTGAGATGCGCTGTCATCAGTGAAAATGGGAGAGGAAAAGATTAAGAAAGACGAAATAGCGAACAAGCTCATTTTCGATAACTTCCTCATCTGGCTAATACAGTTATATAAATAGGTAATAGACATATCACATTCGCATAATGTTTGACGTGTGTGTGCGGATTAGATTGGTGGATATAATTAGTCGATTATGTGTGGTTTACAAAAATAAATTGCGGTGGAGGGTGGATGGGAATAAGGATGTGTCACATGAGGGTTAGGACAGAGTCAAGGTTAACCATCACCTGTTTGCCGCACAGGGTCAATCGAAAGGATCAAGGAGTCATGAAACTGGTCAGTTCCAATCATGCGATTGAGTTAACCACGTGGACATGGTTGTTGAAGTGCTTTAACAAATCGCTTTTGGGAACAAAGTGATGGGTTGAACAAACGGATAGCCACTGCCTCAACTGTTGCTAAATGTTGTTGCGAACAGCCTTAGACGGAAAAGGAGGCACCCGGTAGATTACCTTGAAAGCATCTTCATTCACAGTATGCTCATTATTTGCGAGGAGTTCCACCATCGCACTTGAGATGGTTTTTCTGACCCGATTAATCAACCAGGCTGTTTTATGTTCCTTGATCCTTTGGGAAAACTGCCTGATGGTTCTACCTACGTAGCTTGCCGGACATGAACAAACGAATGATGTGAGATGCCTATTACCTATTTATATAACTGTATTAGCCAGATGAGGAAGTTATCGGAAACGAGCTTGTTTGCTATTTCGTGTTTTCTCAAATGTTACAATGTGAATCTTCAAAGAATAAGAAACCTTTTGCTATTTTTTTGGAACACTGCAGGTTTGTTTTAGCCGAAATTATAAGATCTCTCAAAATGCGAAATGTTCCTCGAAATTTATGCGCACCGGAGCTTTGATTTTAAAATGTTTGTGTTCTACATCCGCCGGTTTGATGTATTGCTCTCTATTGTCCCTTTTATTTTGTTTACAGGACAGTCGTTTGCGCTTGATTTATCGATCAGATCGCGCCGCGGGTTATCGACCGGCATTGATTGCTCAGCTTTTGGATCAGGTGGTCCCAGACGGGTTGCGTGAAATTCACTTTGTTGTCGATGTGGCCGGTCTGCGCCAGGCGAAACGCTTGGAACCGGAGCAAGGACTGACTGAGCTGTTTTACTGGAACAAGACAGATGGATACAACCGAACAGTATATGGACTGGTGAATGCAAAAGGTGAGTGCTATAGTACTGTTTCCAAGACATGGAATTCTGCTAACATGCTGTTTTCTTTTGGGTTTATTAACATAGTTTAGCATCAGTCCTCGGATGGCTGGCAGTAGTATGGGTAGGCTAAATGGTCATTTTTGACTCAGCCTTTCGCGTGAATATTTGGCAAACCGAGCTGTGAGACTCGAATCAGTGACCCCAAATGAGAATCCTAAAGCATATGTGGCAATTCCTTGGATGAGAACGAAACCGTTAAACTGTTTAGAATGAATCACAGAAAATCGCTTCGTTCAGCAAAGATAATGGCCATTTCTCTGACCATTTCATGCCACTATAATCGTCTGTGGTGAGAGACTAGGTAATCCTAACTGGATCGTAATCGGTGTTGTCGAATTGATTCGTGGTACCCATAATCACTGGACAGTCATAATAGTCTGTTTCCGAAAAGATTACGCACACTATCACTCATCTAGAAAACAACACCATAATTCGTCTATAAAAACATTGACCACGCCTAAGGAGAGTGTCTCTTATATCCAAAATAGTTGAAAGCCGTCTACAGCCTGTATTTGATCAAACATATTGCCAGGTCAGACCGGTCTGTTCCTTCAGATCGACCCTTGTTATTACCCCCTGCGAAATCATATACTATTCACCTATATATGTGGGCATGTTCAGTTGCCTACCTACACTGCAACTGCAACTGCGCCTGAGGATGGATGAAGGCTCCCCACTTTGGTCGGGCCAGCTTGTCAATTCACCAGACGCTCCGGGTCAAGAGTCAAACAATGACCGCACACACCAGCGTCTTTCATCGTTCGCCATCTACTCAAAGCACAACATTTTTATCATGAACCGCACAAAGGCTTTCAGTGTAATTTTCATTTCATGTAGGACCAATTCAATTAGCGGAAGGAATAGTTTTTCAACGATTGCAGTTTAATTCGTGACAAAATAAAAGACTGATTGCTTTTCAGGTCGTCTTTATGGGCGATAATAAACTTCTTGATTTGATCCCACTAATTTTGTTTCTGTTCTGATACTTCTTCCATAAGTTGTTGTTTGTCATGTGCACCTGATGGTGTGCAGCAAAATCTATTCGGATATGTATTGCGTAACTTATTTCTGACATTTGCTCTATACAAAAGGATTTCGTTGAACGAAAATAAATCAAACGCACACTAATAACCTTTTTGTTTTCGCTCTCCTTGTGTTCTCTGTTGTTCTATGTCATCCTCGCCTACCCAACCCCCGTTTTCCCAGTCTCCGCCGGCTATGTATATACAGGTTGCTCCCGTGTGTTCTGGGAACATCGCATGGTTCCGTTGCTTGGTCATGAATTGATCGAATCCGGTCTGGCCAATTGGAAGTTGGACTTGGTTCACTTGTATGCAGTTAATCATGGGATTGTCTATCGGTAAGTGGGATGAGCAGCGCAAGGCTGAATGCACGTCATCACTGCACGCATGATCGGACTTAAATGAGGCGGTAGACTTCACATTTAATTCACACGTACTTGTGAGCAGTGAAGTAGGATTTGCGTATGATTTTAACTGGCCAACCATCAACCGTCCTCAGTTTATCCGATCAAACAGGCACCCGGGAGCGCGCTAAACTTGAGTTCATCAGTAATACATTGTACCGAGTCTCTCACATTTGTGGTTCCACTGTGCCACCTGGTTCACACCAAAGCTGGCCAGAAATACAAACTCAAGTTTGTTTACGTTTTCTTCTCCATGACAGTCAATTAATTCCTTAGGCTGGATACCAACAAAGAGAGGCCAGTATAGCACCCGTTAACTCCAATCGAACGCATTGCACCAAATTAGGTCTTCCTTGCACAGTTAGGTTTTGGATAGTGTCAGTCAAAATGAATAATACTTATTCCATACCATTCCTCACAATCAACTTAAAACTGAATGTCGAATATGTTTCTTTCATTTCGTTCGTTACTCGGTACAATCTCTTCGTATGAGTTGATCCTTCAACAGTTTGATCACACAAAACCATACCCTGCCTCCCTGTTTTTTTTAATAAACTAGGTGATCCAGTCATAGCAAATTTCGGCAACCAACTCTCACCGACTTCAGTTATTTTTATTTATATTCGCGTAGTAAAGTAAATCCTCTGATCAAATAGTAGCGATTTGTGTTTTCCTTGATCGATTAGGCACTCACTCACTCTTTCTCTTCCCTTCTTCGTGTGCTTGTTTGGTCTATTTTCAGTGGGGACGGTTCGCATATGTTCCTCAAATATACCGACTGGCATGTATCACCAGTGCTGGGCAGTAGAACCACACGACGCAAACCGAATGTTTGTGATCACTGTTCGACCAACCAGACTGGTTTCGGATCCCCAGTCCTACGTCTGCCAGCTCTGATCACAGACTCATTGGGCCACATTGTCGTTGCAGACGGTAGTCGACTGCGTTGGTTGCAATCACCGGAATCAGCACAGTAAGTGATAAATAACAGTGTGATTGATCATTTTCTGGTAATTTTTACAGTTTTGGTACACTTTCTTATTACCTGTCGGTCTTTGTATGCTTGCTTTATCAGAACCGGAAGCATGACTTTTCGCCCATCTGAGTCGCTAGACAGTCGGGCTCAACGGTCGTTTTTGTGGAACGATCGACGTGTATGGTTCACAATGAGCCAATTCCCCTTGGATTTCCTTTCCACCGGATTCGATGAGCTGGGTTCGACCGATGACTACTATCTAGCCGCCCATCCATCCTATTTGGCTTTGGAACGACGGTTCGGAGCTTCGGACCCTGGGGCCTTAGATTCAGGTCTGTTCTTGTCCCACACGAGTAGCAAATCAATTTGGTGGCTCAGTGACAGTCCTCAACCGATTGCGCAACCGATTCTCACTGCAACATGTGAAGAACATGCTTCCGGTCTGCTACCGGTGCCAGACCTGTGCACTAAACACGAATTTATGGATCCTCGAGGGCTGGCAGTTTCGCCAAATGTGAGTAAAACGACACGGGGGTGTTTTATCCCCGTTTTGTTGCATCCCGCTATCGATTACATAGCGGTATATCGATCTAGATGAATACTTGTCAAAAACAGTGCACTTGTAGTGACCCTATCACGAAGCGTGTGAGCTCTATCATTATACCCCCATGGTTTGAACTAAAGTAAGAAGTCTTTGGCTTTTGCTCAACGATTATTTGTCTCGTTTTTATCCACAAGCTTCATCTACTAATAGTGCAATCTCGGTTCTTTTAAAATGACCCGTTTATAACTCAGGAATGTTTCTAACTTTCCATATTCTTGGGCTACCGTTTTCTATTTTCATGAATGAATAGTGTATCTGTTGCAATTTTTGTTTGCCCAATGAGATAAATCTCGAGAATTTTAGTCGATTCATGGTGTCTGGTTTACTGTGTTTGTCCAGTACCTCTCAGTGCCCGACCGTCTGAAACGCATGGCACGCTAGCTGTCATACATGTTTACCGTTTGGATATGAATTGGTTGCTGTCTGTCTGTCTGTCTTTATGTATGTGATGTAGGTGTGTTTATCTGTTGGAATTCGAATTTGTGAAAAAGCGCACTCGAGAGAGAGAGACATTGATTGGATGGATTACCCTGAAACTTTCACCCTTTAACTCCCATCCTTTGGGATCACGAGTCTAAATCGCTGTTTTCAACTCAAATATTTTCGAGATTTTATTTTTGTGTCGAAAAATCTTTCATTTTTCAAATCTGACATTGAATAGCAGACGAGTTATTCGCAAAAGCATGTGTGCAGGTGTTTTTCAGTTGCGTATATCGTCCATTTCTCCTTTCTTCCCCAACCTTACATGATCAACCTAGTGACTATTTTCTGGGTCACGGTATTTTCTACTACGTAATGACTTCGACCATCACGAGAATTAAAGCTCATTTTCGATTAGGATCTTTATTTGTTTGCGGAAAACCGGGAGGTGAAGGACTGTAGAGTCGGTCTCCAATACTGGTCATTTTATTTATGTCATCCAGTCCCGGTCTTTCCATGGTACCTATCAAACCTGCCTTCCGCGGTTTACAGACAGACAACCACTTTGAATCGAATGATCTCATGCTCGTTTTTCCACTGTTCTGGTAAGACCACGAGAAACTGTTTTACGTCCACCACGCACCGAGTTGCTTCAATCGGTAACGCATACACACAAATTTCAATCAGTTCCGAATCGGGCTGAACGCGTGGAGAATGACTGTTGAGAGTGTGGATGGTTTATTGCATAAACGCATTCGGTTCCGTCGTCGCACACTATGTTATGCCTTTTTGTTGGCTTTAAGCATCAATTGGTCTGTCATCAGTTCGTGTGCACCGGATGAAAAAGTTTGTTTTACGTTCATCCATCATTGAACAGACAAGGTACGATGATTAAGGCCGAACACGAACGCATATCGATCTCCAACAAACCGATGCCATGAGTGTAGGAATTCACTCAACCTTCTTAGCCCAGCGTTCTGATCGGACGGGTTATCTACACCCTTTCCTATCAAGCTTTAGCCAAATCCCGCAATCCTTTAGACAAAACCCGTAGTCCTTTAGCCTCAATGCACAAACTTTAGTCACGCCACAGTAGATGAGTCAGATCAAAAGTATCGGATTATTCTAAAATCAAAGGATGTTGAGAAAAATTATTTTCTATAAATGTTGGTGTTACAAAGCTTCGTTAAGAAATGAGGTGTGGGAGTTGCCTGCTGCAACACATGTTGATTGACGAAGGTTTAACCGATGTGTCCGTATCGTCAAATCATTTGACACGTCTCGTACAGCTTCAGTGTTTCTGTATAACACGATATTCCTAGGAGTAAAAATATCTAGTGTAACTCAAACGATACATTGCTTTGCATTAACAAGTGAATTCCGCTCATCAGAAGGGGATACAAAAACGTGCTGAGGATAAAAAACCGTTCGTAAAAGTGCACCCTCATAACTACCATCCGTTTATTAACGATGCAACGTAAATTATAATTACCACGGTCGAGGCTTCATTTTTA